TAGCAAACATTAGCAAACGTTTGATGGTTTGCTAATGTTTGCTAAAACGGGACCACCGCTTACATTTCTCCTAGGTCCCGGGTTTTTTTAAAACATCAAGTGTTTTTAGTCTGTGCGAATAAACCCCTTTCTACTGTTGTCGGTCTACGGAGCTGTATTGGGGGTTTAGTTTTGATTAAACCCCTTTTTGGTCGATTGATATGCATACCCTTGGGTTTGGGGTTTGGATCAGGATGTAAACCCTTTGTGATCGAGTGAGGGCCCTTACTCGACCAAAAAGGGTTTAATCAAAACTATATAAACCCCAAGTACAGCTCCGTAGACCGACAATATTAGAAAAGGGTTTATTCGCACAGACTAAAAAACCAGCCGATCCATCCTCTATAAAGTGTTTGTGGGTAGCTTGATGCATAGATTCTTCCTTTGCCCACTGCGTCAGGTGGTCTCCTTACGCCACGCCGGGGCGGTGGATTTGAGGTGTGGTTTGGTGGATTCCACAAAGGACCTATACAAATGGAAGGACCGCAGTGGACCGGCCCGGACCGCCCGGACCGACCCGCAGTGGCCCGGCGGTGGCCCGGCCCGCCCGGACCGGCCCGGACTATCCATGAATCTTTGGCACACGAGGAGAGGCGCCAACGGTTCAACGATCCCGTGGCTTTTTTCATGCTCCAATTTGCTCTCCGTGCTTCCAAGCCCTGTCGGACTTCACTGGGTCCCTACGCCATGCCATGCCCTGTACAAAAGCTTCCCGGCACGGCGAAGCACCTGGAAGCCTTGGCGAAATCGCCGATGGCCGAGGGGCCGAAGCCATTTTCATGGCCCGCCCAATGGTGGGCGCCTGAACTTGCCACTTTGGCATCAAAAGAACCGGTGGACCTCAACGAGCTTCAAATGGCAACCTTGGAGTGCAAAATGGCCAACACAAAATTGCCGAAACTATGGCCAAAGCATGTAGCGCCAGAAAGGCACCAAAGGACTCCTCTTTCCCTTGCCCAAATGACCTCTCTGAGGTGCACACAAAAGCATCTACTGACTCCTTGTATATTAGATGAGATCAAGCAACTTGATGCACTGGTATGAAACACACATTGATTCCAATTCTTCGCTGGTAGTTTCAGATTGAATTTCAGCGCTAGTGTGCGCACGCCTGGTCGACACTGAAGGGGCAGTCTGTGAGTCTCCTTGCATTGGCCACTGAGAATGAGTCTGGCCAAATCGTTGCAAAGCAAGAGGCAGTGCGTGCTACAGCGTACTCTTGGGAGTTGACACTCAAGCAGCATTGAAAACCTGATGGTTTGAAGGGCCCAAGGTGTCCAATGGGTTGATGCAATAAATCACTGGACAGTGTCAACCCCAGTCACAACCTGCCACGCCCGGCCACGAAAGGATCCATGCCCACCTCTCGATCCGACATTGCATCGGCTTGAGGCCGGCGCTACTGCCACTGTTCAGCTTGCTCCAGTTGAGCTGATATTCGTGCCGTGAGTGGCACCACTGGACCACGCAAACACCCTAATCGCAGCCTGAGGCTGTCTCTCTACCAGAGTCTGTCTGGCACCAGCTTGTCCAAATCGGCAGGATGAGTTGAAATGAACAGACTACGGCGAGCTTTGGTGAGCTAGCCAAAGAAAGCCATTGGCTTGTTACAGTGGCCACTGAAAGTGTGAGAACCTAGAACTTCATCCTGCCAACAACGAGCTGGTCTCCAAAAAACCCTATCTATAATCAAACTAAGAACACACCTCCCGCCCAGGCAAGCCTGGCTCGCGACTGATTGTACTGAATGGATGACTCTAAGTCACACCAAGACTCAAACAAATATCCCTCAATAGGGGGTGCACCATCCAATCCAACGATGACAAAACATTACCAACACGTTCACTGCGACATCTTCAGAGCATGCAGCTTTTGGCTTTTGCTCCGTCTTTTCAACTTTTCAATGATGCATGGGAGAGAACACCCAAGGTCGAGGGAGGAACACCAGGACACTAGGTTGTATGAACTATGCAGCTATGCACTCAGGATTGTGCAACCTCCCAATTTGCAAATGTCCTAGCATGACAGCTTGACCAAACAAAAGAAACAACAAAACATGTGGCCATATGTGGCCATTCAATAGTGCGTTTTGGGGGTCGCAATCAACCCCAGTATACCCCAGTTATATCATTTGGCCGCTGAATTGTGTTCCTTTCTTCACCCCCTCATGAAAAGATTTAGCCTGGGATCCCTATGAGCCGCTTATGAAAAAAGGAACTATTTCTACAGCTTGGTCTGGTTGGTCTGTGAGACCTGGAGTTGATCTGGGATGAGGTACCAAGGTGATCGGCCTTGGCTCCAACATGCACCGACTGGAGGACGGAACTGTGCCGGCTGCATGACCTGCCTTGGTGCCTTGGCTGGGAAAACTGGTCTATCCGCCCACTGGGCGGAAGGCGAATCACCGAATCACCGAAAAGCGTCTACAAGTCTAGGCTATGGGTCCTATTGGCTTGGAATGCAGTCCGTTCTTGCATTTCACTTCAGCGTGAAACATACAGAACATTCCAAAAATGCTGCAACCTCACTATATAGAACTACGAAGTCTTTCCAACATGCGGCTGATATGTGCAGCAATGGGGGAGGAAATGGACAAGATCAAATGATGTGCAATGCATCATGCATTCCATGCGCCAATCTAGGGCAACAATTGGTCACATCCCATGTTCTGAGGAATGCTGCTGAGCTATCATAATTGCGCTATCTAGAGAAGCAAGTTTAGGGCCCGAGAGCAGGCCCTTGGCAATAGGTTTGGCTAAATCACATGCCAATGAAAGTGGAGAGAATGTCAAAGCTCAAAGCCAGGTTGACGTGTCAACGTCTTCAACGCGATTTCTTCTTCAGCTCCACTCTGCGCAGGCTACGATTCAAATAATAAAACGGATATGGTCAATTCAATTCAAGCTGGAAAGAGCAACTGGCTAAGCTTCCCAGCTTTGTCAAAAACTGGGTTAGCTGGCGCTTCCAGCTAACCGCTTATCGTTTCAGGCTGTGAAGCGTCAAGAAGTTCGACGGTTTCAGGCTGCAGCCGCAAGTTGGCCAAAATGTCTGCAGAAATGGCAGGGTGTGTTGCTACGTGTATCTTCTTGTCATTGCTTTTTGCTCCAGGTGATCCTCTTGATTCAGACTCTCAGTCTAATCATGTTTTTTGTTGATTTCTCTGCCCATTTAGCCTCTGCCTTCCGCAAATGGTGAATTAGTCGCACAGATCAAATCGATGCACGACTCAATCTGCGACCGCAAAGCACGCGCTTTGCACAGTTGCCTGGGCAGCGGACTGCCTTCAATTCCTCATTCATTTCCTCAAAAAACAAAACAATCACCAAAGCAGTAATTTAGTGGAGACTTAAAGGCAAAAACTGGCTTTCAACCGAAGGCTAGTGGTCGTTGCCAAAACATTCTCAGTCGAGGCTGCAAGAAAACAAAAATGCCTTTGGACTGAGCGAGGGGCAATGCGAGATGTCCAGATGTTGGTTGGAAGCCCAACATGCAGCGCAGTACAAAAAAGTAAAGGAGTGAACACCACAAGCTATTGATCCTACAAAACACCCCTCTTTTTTTCTCCAGTGAAGGCCCCTCTCTACCAGCCAGAAGGGTGATCAGATTTCATGAGACTAGCTGAGGTGTTGCACGACTCGCTTTGCCCTTCGAAAAACCTTGGTAGCATGCCAGGGTCCACAAAGAAACCACGCAAAGAGTGTAATGTATCCAGTATAAACTGCGGCCCTTGTAGCAAAAGCACACATCCACACCAAAAGCAAGAACTCTCACTTCAATAGTCCAGGAACTATGAAACACAACGAATCTGACATAAACCAAGAAAAACTTGTTTGTGCTGATAGGACACGGATGAGAAAGCAAGGCGTAGGCTGACCAACGCTGGTTTGGCACATACCTTACTTGGTTCTCATGACTGTGATTTGACGTTTCTACTTGTTTTGCGTATCTAACGACTTCTCATGTGGTGTGCCAATAGAGTCCAATAGAGGCAAAGGGCTGCAGCATAGCTCCAAGCATTTGCTGCAGAAAAGTGTGGTGGAAGGGGCACGCCTCCAAAACTTTCTGGAAGTTGGTATCCTGTGACAACAAGCAATCTTCATTGCTGTTCATATTCAAACCCCTCTCCCGTTTCCAAGACAAATCCATTAATTCCTTGCAGCTCCAATCGCTGGCTGGTCAAGATCTCTCGGTTGGACACGTGCAACAGGTATCAACAGGTTGACATGTGCAAAGCCTCTGCAGACTACGGACTGGTCAAAATTCTGTGTGTTTGCAAAGGTCAGGATCGAGTCTCTCCAAAATAGCTGCGCTATTAGTGTCTTGGAGGTTTGGAGAGTAGCCCATTCCGCGGTCGCCTACGTCATCCACTTTTTCAACGGTACAACGTCCGTCTCCTCCCAATGTGGGAAGCTGCGGGAGAAGTGTCCCATTTGTTCAAGACCAGGCCAGGTCGTGGCAGCGGGCGTGCCCTTCATCCGGAATATCTTGAACAGCCTAATCAATGAAAGGCACATGAGGCACCAACTTTCATGAAAAAGCCCTTGAACTCACTGAGGTCCGCAATTTCACTCGCCTCTCTTTTTGGATGATCACTTGCAAGTGCCAGTTTCCACCCTCCGAGCCACGTGTCAATCTCAGAGTCACCCGGGAACATGGGCCGATTCGTCGCCATCTCCGCCAGAATGCAACCCAAGGACCAAATGTCCACCCCCTGACCGTACCTTAGCGGTAGAACGACAGCGACGAAGTGTCCCCTACCGTCGCATTCGGTCAGTTCTCGGTTTCGCACTGTTGGCACTGTTGGCACGTGGCCGTCGCATTCGGTCAGGCCGCGTGAACAGACGGAAAAGCGCTAAGCTTCAAACATGCACTGGCCAGAGTCCATGAGGATCAACTCGGGCGCACGGTACCAAACAGTGACCACGAACTTGGTCAGTGGCTTTTGGCCTGAGTTGCGAAGGGAATTGACTCCACAGATGTTAAAGAGTTAAGAGAATGGAGAGGCGGGGCAGAAACACAGAGACACGGAGAAGACACCAAGGGGAGGAGTAGAGTAGATAGAGGAGAGGAAGAAAAGAACAAGTCACAGAGAAAAAAACACATAACATAGAAGGAACGCGGAAGGAGAGGGTAGAGATGAGAAGACGAAAGAAGAGATAACTGACATAAGAAAACACACAATACCCCCATCAATACTGAAAAAGCCAATAAGAGGAGCAACAAGAGAGGGGGCAGCAAAGAGTCAGAATAGCGTGAATAGCTGAGCAAAAGGTTTCAAGGGAAGGGGGCGAGGAAAAAAACACCAACAATGAGCAAAAAAGGAACATTAGGACAGGAGCGCTCAGTAAGAACAGCAACAACAGCGACAGTTCCACTTGCGCTGTGGAGTTTATGTTGCAATTCCATCCCCTGGCTGTCCCCTCGCTTTGCGCCGAGAAGCAGCGAAAAGGCCACAGGTAGCGCCGTGAAGCGAGACCAAAATCCGCCAGCTTCAGGGTGCCTCCATCCACCAAGATGTTCTGAGGCTTTAGATCTCGATGGAGGTAGCCCTGACCTCGGTCGGTCGGAGACCTTGATTAAAAAAGGCCCTAGACGGTCTGCGCAAAACGAAGAAAAAACACGTATATAATATACCATAGAACATCATAGAACCCATTTGACATCCTTTTTGATAGGAAAACGCCGTATTCTCGACAGTTGATCCCCGAAAACCGGGGTCACTCAGGTTCTATATAGTACGAATACTAGTACGAGTATGATCACTAGTATGATGATCCTTTTCTTCTGGTCCATCGTTTCTTTCTGGCACATGTTGAAAACGGTCTAGGAGAGGCAATTTGGTGCAATTTGTATCCAGCCTACTGTGTGCCATGCCTGCGTGGCAAAATGGTTGATGTTTGCCTTAAAGCCTCCGCTCCAACATCCATCTAAGTCTTCCTTTCCACACATGTTGCTGCCATGATGCGATGGCAATGGCCCAGCCCCAATAGAATCTGACGGAACCTTTGCCGAGTTCCGAAATTCCGCGAACCTTTCCTGCCTGGGCCTCCACATACATGCAAAGAAACCACTTCTGCACGTGTGCGCAAGCACATGGAACACAAATGGACAGGTCACTCTAACGGGCCTATTTGGTGTGCATGAACAAGTACGGATAAGCGGCGCTGGCTTCAAGTCCGCAAAGGGGCCTTTCAAAACTCTCCTGGCAAGAAACCTGGTTCCACTTTGACTGGGTGAGGGATTCTCTGCAAAGAATGATGATACAGTGCAGTTTAATGCAGTATATAAGAAAATCTGCTCCTCATCTCGATTTCTCGTGCTGTGCGAGCATGCACAGCATGGTCAGAAAAAAGGGTGTGTAGACAATGTGTCTTCTGTATCCCAACACGCCTATATAACAATATATAGACCGCCGAAGGAGGCACCTGACAAAACAACATCACACAGCGACACAGCAGCAAATCAAAGGTGGGACCAACTGCAAATCAACGGATCTGACCTTCCACCATTGCAGTCCCTGAAAAGAAAGCGGCCTCCCAACAAAACCCGCCCATGTTCGGTCGAAGTTTGTTCGGTGTCCTCATGTACTGGGACAGGTCGAATGGCATGAACTCCAGGATCAAGTGCACCTGCACCACGAGTGGATTCGCCTTTTTTGACTGAAAACAACTGTGGGAAACCGGTGGAAAAAGAACGGTCACCCGATGTCACCCCGTCAGCTGTGACGGAAGAAAGCTGACCAAAAAAACTAACATGGGCACCGGATGGTACCGGTGCTAAACCAGTGCTCCACGTGAAAATTTAAGATTTTACAAACGCTATGACTATGGAAAACAATATATATATATATGTATATACCCTACAGATCAAAGCCTACGTTTAACCTGGGCAAGGATTGTGTCTAAGTTTGACTTGGTTAAACTTTGTCGTTCTGGAAGACAGCGTGATTGACCGTGATTGGCTCAATCGAAGATTCCACTGATGGACAAACATCAAGGTTCCACTCACACCGTGATCGGCGTGAACGGGCGTGAAGGCAAGTTAAACATGGCTGTTTTGTTATGACTAAGTTTTTCTGGCGTCGTTGATCCCCAGGGTATATGTATATATATATATATTATAGTGTTTCAATGCTTCAAACTTTAACGTTTTGATCACACCCAGCGGATGCTTAACTTCCTCAAACATCACTATGGCAACTGAACATCACTGGAGCTGCCCCAAACTCCCAAGAGCACACATCTGCTTTCGGAGCACACTCTCCGGCACGGCATGCACGTCGAGGAGTTGTACCACGTTGGGATGCTGGCAGGCCCTGCAAAGGTTTGCAAAGACATCCACTACGAATCAACACTGAAATAGTTACAAGATTCCAATCTACCTCTGCAGAACGCCATTTGTATTTTTATTTTTGAAATGAGACTTCTTCGGCGCAACCACTCTGGAAACGAGTGCTGCTTTTGGAGGGTGCTGGAGGCAGAATCCAATGATTCAACCTGGTTCTTCCCGACCTTTTGACCCCCTGGTTTGAGGTTACTTAGGCCTGTCACAGGTCACCTGGGACTCTGCAGACTCCAAAAAGATCACTTTGAAGAAGCTGCAACACCCTTCAGCCATCAGGGGCCTGAGCGCCGAGATCTCCCGGAGCGACCAGCTGGACAGGCCCTCCTGGTGAGACCAACCAGCGCCCGTCTGTGAGAACCGGTCCATCCGACTAAGACCTACATCGGTCGACCGGTTCATCTGACTCAGTCCACAGGGGGCATGATGGACGTTTTGGCCCCATGGGCCTTCCGGCGGACGAACGACAAATCGTCAAACAAATCGAATTCTCGATGGTTTTTGTTGGCGTCCACCTGGTCGACCCAAGCAAACTGCAAATGGAACCTGATTTGGGAGCATTTGGGATATCATGCGGCATCATCAGCGGAAAAAAGCAGGAAAGCTCTCCTCGATCACTTGCGAAGAGCTCTTGACTGCCACAACTTTGCCAGTGACCTGTGACTTGTTCCACCCTTTTCATCACCAACTGTGTGACCTGCATTTGACGCAAAGCAACATGCAGCCCAGCAACCACATCTTTCATCCGCATGACCTCGCCATAATTTCCTCCACCAATCTTCTCCAACGGCGCGTAGCGGCCGCCCAAATGCTCATCGGCCAATGGCGTCTCAACCTGGAGGTAGGTGCGTTTTCAAAAATCACCTCTATTGATTGACTGCCACTCTTGCTTCCTTTGCTTCCAAGTTCTCATTGCACTTGACTTGTTGACTCAACTTGGGGTCTGAAAGCGCCACACCAACTGTGACATTGACAGCAAGCCTGAGAAGCTCACAATGTCTGAAAACACGTGTGCTAACCAGGACTGACCGTCGGGGTGGTGAATGGACGGTCACCCCTTTTCATCAATCCTCTTCGCAGCCCATCAACTAGGAGCAAGGACGCTACTAGGGGCTCCTGGCATCGCTACTAGGAGCAAGAAGCTACTAGGAACAAAGGGCATCGCTACTAGGAGCAACTTCCAAAACCGTGGCCAGCTAAGGAGTCTCTTCGCATCTCTCCCCGTTGCGCTCCTTCTTGCGCGGGTGGCCGTGCGGCGCCATGGGCGGCGGGGCACGGTGCTTGGGGCCATGGGGGTCGAAGCCCAAAATGCCTGCAGAGCTTTCGCCTCCGGAGCGCTCTGTCCGTCACATGACCCGCTCGGCCGGGTCCGTCTTCGAAGCAGGTGCTGGAAACGCGCCATATATATGACCCACTCGTATCACAAACTTCTATGATCTTTGAAGATCTTTAGTGCACTTGATCTGTGCAACTTCTGCAATGCGCCGGTTGGCACTTCCTGGCACAACAAACGAGCCACTGACGTGCCATGGAACATGGCCATCGGTGGACCGTTCGTGGTGACCGACCGTTCGTGGTGACCACTCCCAAACAAACAGGTGACCCAGTGGGACATGGCCCCTGGAAAGACCCTCTTCTACTAGCTTCTTGTTACTACTAGCGATGCACCTGTTACTAGTAGCGCGGCACTTGTTACTAGTAGCTTTTTATACTCAACCAACTGGGGGTGATGTGTTCACTTCCATGTTGAGAGAGGGTGCTCCAAGTTCAATCTGATCACTGGGACAGTTTTCGGGGCTCATTTTTGGTTGGGCATGGGGAAAATCCTGCAGAACCGCCTGGTACAAGTACAGGATCTGCCAAGGGACCGAGGAGGCACGCTTGGCCGGGCGAATGGCAAAGATGTTGAAGCCCTGGCGAGTTGGTTCGAACTCGGAGCCCTGGATCGAACTACATCTCGCCCCAACCACCCCCCAATAACAGGAGTGCATATGCTTTTACAGTCAGTGGTTGAACAGAATACCAAAAAGGTGTTCAACCACTGACTGAAACTCATTGGAAATTCATTGGCGGATGACGGATACATTACCCTCAAACAATGTGGATGAAAAGCTTCTGTGAGTAACACCGTCTTCCCGACCAGAACACTGCATGGGACTGGAACATATTCCTACGTTGACCCCTTTTCAACCACACCAATGTGCAAGTGTCTGGTATTGTAGACTCCTGCTGGAACTTCTGACAGGGCCCGTCAGTCCGCCGATCTGGCCTCATCAATTGGCCCGTCATGTGGGACGTTCCACCTGGGTGGTGTGTTTTTGTGTGTGGCTACCGTGGACATGTGTAGTATAGTATAGATAGATAGATTTAGTATATCATATATTATGCTATTCTTTTCCATTATTGCTCTCAAAAAATGTATATTTCAAACATTCCCAAGTGCGAAAAGCACAGAGCATACGGCCACCCAAAACGACGTGTGCACCGCAGCTGCGCCCCAGGCTGGGAAGCTGGGGGCGTTCCAGCAGTGCAGCTCGGATGGTAAGCCCAAACCTGATCACCGCCCACCTGTGCATCCAGCGGAAGGGTCGACCGGAAGGAAGAGTCGGAAGAAGATCCAGTCCAACACATCTGAAGACATCGGGAATTCATGAAAAAGACGTGTACAAGCCATCTGCCCAAGTGTCCAAAAGGTCATTTTGGTCGCATCTGTCGCATAGGGAGGGGACATCTTAAGAGACTTGATTCGCGAGAAGCGCACGATGTCCAGCCAGCACATATTCGATACGGGGAGTTACCATGGAAGCGGTTCTCTTACAAAATGCCCGGCACACGCAGCTGAGGCGTGTAGATAAGCGACACAGGACCAATCCAACCCAGCTGGTACATAAAGGGTGAATCCAAAATAACCAAAGCAATGAGCCCCCGGTCCAACCAAAGACCATCCAACAAAAGGTTGCCGCAAAGAATTGAAACGGTCATCCTTTTTCGAAGGCCTGACCGTCAAGCAGGCAGTTGACCAAGCCGGTCAACGTTCCAAGGCACCCATCGGATCCGAAGACAAATATCTCCGAAACACTCCATGTAGGAATGCAAATTGAATAAATGGATCATACCTGTCTGGTCGTCCACGAAAACCGCACCTTGGGGCCAATCCACCAGCCACAAAGCTCAGGCCCGTCTCGCTCATCCCAGAAATAGATCAAGACCTCAACGGTTCCGTTCCCCTCCACAAAGCCGAACAAAAACCCTCAAAACATCTAAGAACATCTAAGAACCCTTTCACAGTAAACACCCGTGAAAAACAGGTGTTGACTTTACCAACTCATGAGGGGTGTCCTTCTCACCAACTCAAAACACCCAATTCATAGGATCGGTTGATCTGCTGGGTGCTGTATATACATTGTTGGTTGGTCAACCAAATGATCTGAGCCGCAGCCATTGAAATGTTGGACAAATTTTGAGTGGAGTTGATGCAATAGTGAGAATCATGAGGAGTTCAAACCCAAAGCTACATAACGATCGATGTCTTTCCTGGAGTATATCACCCTTGTGGACATAGATCAACAGTATACATTTAGAGACACATCTAATTACAGTAAAAGCAAGTCTCGTTGAGAAAATCCAAAAAATATCAACAGGGAAATTGGAATTACAGGCTTGGCAGCGAAAAACAACTCGGCACCTATACTATGCTATCAGTCGAGCGTGCGAACAACATATATTGTTACTGTCATACTGTTATCATGATTCTATTTCTTTTCTCCGCGTCGCAGGCCACGCTCAAGAGGGGGGGGCCGGGGGGCCGGGTATGGCACCAGGGGCAAGCTCCGCAGTCCATTCTCAGCGGCACCAGCACCCCCCCAAAATCGCACAATAAGATTAAAACATATTAAAACCATCAAGTCTAGGAATGGACAATATCAAACGTTCTTGTTAAAACCATGCTTGGGGGCACAAGCACCCCTCTCCCCCAAAAAAGACACAAACACACGCACACACAGATTTAAAACCATCAAGTCTAGGAGGGCCCATCCACGAGGGCTCTCGAGCAAGGTGCAATGGGAGCACGGCGGTCTCGAATCCGATGCCGGAGCATCTGTAAACTCCACATGAAACTGCAGTGAGTTGGGCCTTCCAAAGAGGAGAGGCGAACGAAGTGGACGAAGCAAAACTTCAGAATGATTCACTCAGGTGCCCAGTGGGGCCGCGAACCACGCATATAAATATATATGATAGTACAAAGGGAGCTTTATCCCATGTTTCCAGCGCTTCTCAGGTTCCAATCCCACCGCGGCCAACAAGAGCCAGGTTGCATCCAGCCCCTTCGATTTCTCCTGCGCAACAGAAATCGAAGCTCGTGGATGGGCTCAGTGAGTTCTGTCACTAGACCGTCTCTGCCGCTCCAAACATGGTTTGGGAGGGGACAACTGTCTTGGAGCCCCAATCCTAGCAAGAAGCTACTAGGTTGGAGGCCATCGCTACTAGTAGCAAGGACGCTACTAGTTCGAAGTTATATGATGGAAACAGTTAACATCCAGCCCTCCAGCAAACCTTGACACGTCATGAATTCCCACGAGTCACACTCCCAGTGGGCAGGGGCCCAATTGGAGCAAACGAGGGAAACCAAGTCGTTTCCCAGGTGACTTGGGGTTCAAAAAGGAATTGGTTCCTCATTATCATCCAACAGGTTCTCTCACGCGTTGGACCTTGATGAGTTATTCCGATGGTGGAGTCCTATCCCTTTATTGAACAAAACAGTGGCGGTCACCATATGTCACCATAAGAAACCTTGACAGGCACCCCCTTTTTGCAGGGACCAAGGTCCCTGCTCAAAGATTCATTCAACAATCTCTAAAATGAAATATTGATAAATATTGTACTGTAAATGTTCAATCCCACATAAGTCAGGGGAAGAAGTATAAAAGTTAAGTGTTCCCAAACCTACTCTCTCTCTCTCTCTATCTGGATCCATTTGATTATTTATCTTTTTTGAAGGGGAAACATTCGGTGTAAGTCCACATAGACCTCCTCTCCAGCCTCTCCTTGCGTTTATAGACCACCTTCCCGTGGTTGCTCGTGTCCGGGACGTACTCGCCGGCGATAATGCCACTAATGGTCACATCCTGGGATGTGAGGAGTGGACGGATCTGAGTGGGACAAGGCATGTGAGGAAGGGTTTGACGGATCTGAGAAGAGGCAGGACGGGCTTTGGGGGAAGTGGGCCCGCCCAGATTCTTTGGTCAGTTTGGCTTGGCATCGGGATCTGCCTTGTTCTATCTCTCCTTGTCACAGAAACAGCAGTCACATGCTCTGTGATCACAAAGGGGTCCCCCGTGATCGGTTGTTTTGCTGTGATTTGCCCGTCGGCTTCACTTTCATGTCGTCTCACTCTGAATTGCTTGTCGTTGCGTTTCAACCCTCACCTGCCTTGAATCTCCTTGAATCCCTTGCCGCTTAGGGGTTGCTTGACTGGCGAAGCCGCCCAGAACCAGGACAGAATCGGGCCGATTCCGAGCCGATTCGCGGCCAACACCAAGGGTCGGTGCAGCCGCTCACTTTCAGTGGTGGCAGCGGCCCCTTCTTGCCCTGGGGCCGAGGGACGGGTGAGGTGTCGGAAGGTCGCCCCGAGGGACGTGCTCCCGAAGCTTTGGCAAAACGGACTCCCATGCGAAAGAGAGATGGGTTGGCATGACGGTTTGGACTTTGGGTGGTGCTTGGTCGGCTGCATCACATCATTCAGAGATTACGTAGATTCTATGAACAAAAGAAAACCACTTGGGCAGGATGCAGCGCTTCCAGCTTTATATATTGTATCACTTCTTTCGCAGATTCGAGCAGAACAAAGAGGATTGGTACGCGATGGCGCGCCTTGTTTTAAGTTCTTTTTGAAAACACCCTAGACCAACAAAGGTCTAAAACCCCTATAAGCTATATAGACTATCCCATATATATATATACCAACCCGCGGTGACGAGTCCTATAAGGTCACTTATATAACTTCTCTTGGTATCAACCCAGCAACTGGACCAGTGGAATGCTGACCGGGGTCACTGAGGCCGATGATTGATGTGGATGGCATACTGGACTGACGGCACGTGCCGTCCTCATCTACATGTCTTTTGCCCAACACATTCTTTGTGGGCAATTTATCGTCCTTCAGAAGGCACGAAGCCACATCCCCCTTGGAATTAAGTGGGGGGGAGGAGTGGGTATATTGATTTTGTAATGATAGAATGCTGAATATGACATCCAAAATGACAGGCGGCATGTTGCTTACAAAGATCCTCTATAGAATCGAGGCTCGTAAATTCCTGTGCGTTCTCTATAAAATCAGACTCTCTATGACTCTCTGACATGCCGCCTCCAACCTGGGCAGATCATTCTGGCTAAAAGATGCTGTATTTTGTGATGGTATCATCATCGATGTTGTAGAGGAAGGACTTTCCAATCAAGTTCACAGCTTCTATCTCTAACTGGTCCTCAATGACCCTGTGCAGGTAGTTTAGGGGGAAAGCATGGGAAAGCAATACAGGGGACTTTCAAAGAATGGCCCGGAAGGGTGATCAGTTCTCTTGGGCACCTTCTCTGCAGCCTTCTCGGTTTTGCTCGCCTAAGCAGGGCGCATTCCCAGCGCACGCTGAAGAGCATGCGAAGCTGGGCACTTTGCCACACTCACGGGGCCGTCAACGACCATGTCATCGAAATGTGCCAAATGCGAAGTGATCCAACAGCCTCCAGTAGCGTTATCATCCAAGCCAGCCCAAATGCTGATGCTTGCCACACACCCCTTTTTCTCACATCGCCATCCGCTCACCATTGTTTCGCGGAACACCGGTTTCAACGTCATCCGATCGGTTTTTTTTGTGGGTGTGATGGTGCAAGAAAGGTTGGAGCATGGAACCATTAGATGTGGGAACATGAACCTGATCAAAAACGATCAAAGCCTCTGGATGAACCCAAGTTCTGCCCAAGAGGGTGGAAGTTACTCTCTGAGCAGGAGACAAGTCTTCCAATGTATTCCGAGTACCTCGGGTGCACCTAGAAACCGAGAAGAAAATACTTTAAAAACAACTTTAAGGTTGCCCGCTCTTGCAGCCAGAGTTCACCAAACCTCCAAGCTAGCCACGGGTGAGAGGGGAATTCCCTCCGTCTCCTGGTGTAGAGGATGGCCTTAGGGCCCTTCATTCTCTCCCTCACGTCAGTATGATCAATATATGTCCTTGGATTTCTTTCGACATTTTTCATGAGAAACATTTCCAATAGGACAGTTTTCCAGAACAAGGTCATCAAACACTCCATGGTTCAACCATTTCTAGATTTAACATCAAAACGAGGAACATCAGGATTCCCTTGTGGGCTGCTGAAGTGCCGGGCGCTTCCGCCCGCCGCGGCGCCACGGACCCTGGTTTCCGCCCGTTCCCTTTCTGCCCAGCCACCGGCATGGCAGAAACGCACGGCCGGCTGGACGAGATTGTGACTTACCCGAAGGAAGGAATTGTTTTGGCCTTAGATCTGAGGTTTTGACACTTTGTTGGATGGGATGCATCGAACAAATTGCACTCGATGGATGGTTATCGGTTATCATGGGAAGAACCCCCATTTCCGGACCCTGGATACTGTGCGACCGAAACGGCCAGCGGCATGCCGGTGGGCGCGGGTCGTTCGGCGAGTTCGACGACCGATGCACCCCAAATGCAACGATGACCACAGGGGTCCAGGTTAGTGCATCCAGAAGTAGAGAAGGTAGAAATAGCATGGAATATCATGAAATAGCCAGGAGGTGCCAGGAGCGACTTCTATGGGCAGCAATATTCAAGATGAAGGCTGCCTTAGCTTTGACTTTTGAACCGCTTTTCTAAAAACACTCCATGTGGCTGGCATATTGAAATGCCATCATGATACCCTTTGTCAACCAGCCCAACCTGGTAACAAAAAAGCATAGTTTTAAAGTGTTAAACAAACTTGTCAGTCCCAAAGAGGTCGTGTCTGGCTTTGGCACTCCGAGCACATCACCCGAAAAGACCCAGGGAAGAGGCCAGGGTCTTTTCACAGGAGCTACCTATCTGGAGTCTGAACATACTTTAGACATTGACACCGCCCCACCTGGATGTCCAAACATCTCCATCAAGCAAAAGTTAATCAGTTGAGATGGCGGAAATTCCAAGCACTTCCCCTGATCGACGGCTGAACAATGTCGCCCACCCCGGCGCCACAGAATGCTTTTCTGCACCGCTCGGACGCGGGGCGTTTCCGGCGTGCTGAGCGGTTCTGCGAGACGGTTCGATCAATCAAATATTCAATCCAATGGTGCGAATGGGGGTATATGACTGGTGCAGGATGGTGCAGGGGTCTGCAGTATGTGGAGTGAACTCTTGCATTGTTGGCAGGAACGCCACAAAGGGTCCCTTACAGTTTACTGGGAAGCTGGCGAAAGCCAAACCTCAAGACTCCTCAATTCCCGGTCATGAATGTAGGTATCATCCCATATCTGGGGACCATGACTGTCAAGCCTTTAGCACTGTTGTCGTTTTCATCCGTCAACCAGGAACTATAGTTGGTGCTAACAAAACCACTCTTCCAGCAGGATTGATCCCACGGACGAAGGTCGCCCCGCCGTCCCGAAGCAAGGCTCAGCAAGGCGCCCGGAAAGCACGCAATCGTCCAAGTTCCGGAAGGTACATAAGGAAACGTTGATCGTACGTAATGTTCGTACCCAAGGTTTAATTGGCCAGCAATGACCAGTGACGTCACACATGCATGAGAACATACGCAGTAGACACATTGTGTATATTATATATTATATACGCATGCACCAGCCATGGTTAGGAGGGAGCCAAGGAACAGCGCTTGCCAGTATATCAAGTAAGCTTTGTGTTCGGAATCCACCTTTGGGACATGAATCTTGAATTCCCACTTCGCTGGGCGCTGAAATCTGTTGAAACCACTTGTGCCTGAAGTTCCATTGTTTTTCCCCAGTTTGGAGGCTTGTAGGCCCTTGTAGGCTTGTGCCTCCGACACATATCTTTTGCTCTTTTGGCGACCCAGTTGGCATCTGATCTCATCCACTAAATGAACTAAAACACCCTGAAAACCCTCCGAAACTCCGAAGCCAGCGATGGCGGTTGCGGCGGCGCCGTTCGGCGCCGGCGCACCGAAGCCCGGGCTCACTGCGAGCTCCTCAGGTGTGTGGGGACGGTGTGATAGAAGGGAAGGCTGGGCCTGAAGAGGGGGCAGTTCGCCTCGTGAGTCTTTCCACAAAAAACAAGGAGCAAGTTGGGAGGGGAAGCGAAGGGACCCAGCAGTGAAGAAAAATTCCCAAGGTTTGCACCATCCATCTACCGTGGTCTATGGGTTTGCACATGTTTGCGCCATCATCTGCTCCTCTAACCGCTGCATGATAAATGGGAGCCCAAAACGATTTACTTTAAATGACCCGAGTCCAGGAATTTGTTGGTCTTTTGGCTTCATAGGGTCATAGGGTGAGAGTTGATCGCCCCTGCAGCCAAAGGATCTCGGACAAGAAGGTCATGACTGGAGGCGTTTCCACAACCTGGTCGTCGCTGCTGTGGGCACTAAACTAGACCGCACCACTCTTCCGTGGAAGCAGCTCTCAAACGAAAACACCGGCTTACCAGCAACCACACACACACACACCGCCCCAAGCACCACAGTCACATGCCAATTTCTGAAGGAAAATACGAAGGATTCCGAAGGTCTAATGCATATGACACCTAACTTGTAACTTCTGGTCTTGTCGGAAGGGACGAGGCCTCGACAGGTCTGTTACACACGCAAAGGCTGACACTAACATGATACAACATGATGACAACTGATGCATCACGAAATGGTCCATGTTATCCACTGAAGGGTGGGTGAAGGTGGACAATGGTCTCAAACCTTCTTGGGAGCAACGCGGGACTCCGAAGACTTGGACCGCCTCCGGCACAACTAGCCACAGTATCTTGGATGTGCGCTCCAATCCAGGAACGAGTGTAACACATCTTCACCAGGTTTGGGGATTTGCCCATATGGGGGAACATCATGGAACATCAAGCATCTTCAGCAAACCCTCAGGGTGTTGTCCATCGTTAGTCCGCATGCCGGCAAGCGTCGTATGTTCCATCCACCGCCGATGTGGAGCGCCCGGCGCCGCCGCGGAGCCCTGGGGCGGGGCGGGGCGCTTTGACCTGGAGGTCGGTTCTATTAGTTCTCCTGGCTTTCTTTGGTGGGTTGCATAGTGAATTGAGCTGCTTCTTTGGGGGGGGGGCGATTTTTCATGAAGATGGACATGAACAGCTCAAAAGGAGTGCGGAGATAGAGACAAAGGAAACAACATGCAAAAAGTACAAGGGCCGTATATAAGGGCCCAAAAAATGAAAAGTTGCTTTCCTTATAACTGCAGTAATCATATGGCAAGCAATCTAGCCTTGACACGAAGCAATTGACAGGTTGTGAGAGTTGGCGTTGATTCTTCACTACCCTGTGGAACCAATAATATGAACAAAGCAAACTGGTGGCATTGTGGTTCTATGATGCTCTATAACCAAATGTTCGGAGTCCCGTGAGCATGTCCTGTTCGGGTCAAAATATTGGCGCACAAAAAATTATGGTCAAATGGTTATCTGTGAAGGCCACAAGCCCCTCCCCAAAACTTTGAGTTATGGACT